GATGATGCTGCTGACAACGACGACGCTGATGATGACGGTAACGATAACGATGATGACGACGATGGCGATGGCGACGGCGATGTTATCGATGAAGGAAGTTGTAAGCCAGTTGATATCAATGTAGAAGAGGAAGAAGAAGAAGTGGTGATAGAGGAGGATGAAGAGGAGATAATGGAGGAAGTAGAACAAGCAGAGGAAGAAGATAACGATAATAAAGGCGGTGGTGGAGGCGGTGATGATAACAATAATGGCGATGTTGACGATGTTGATGACGTCGAAGAAGATGATAAAGGTGCTAATGGATTTGGTGAAGGTAGCGGTGGTGGTAAACTTTGTAAATTGGATGATATTGTTCGAGACATATGAATATTTGGTGGAGGTATATTAGTATTTGGAACAGGTTGAGGAGGTTGCACAGGAAGGGGAGGTAGAGGTGGAGGTGGAGGTGGAGGTGGACGAATCGTATGAGGTGATGATATTTGCATTCGTGGATCTCCAGGTCGATCATCAAGTCTAGGGAAAGTGTTACACATATTTTTTGGAGGAGGCATTTTTGATAGATTCGGAGGAGGTATATTGGTTACAATATTCCTCATATTAGGTGATGGTACGCCAGTAAGATGTGTCATAGGTTGAGATGCAGGAGAAGGAACAGTAGATAGACTTCCATTCCGAGAAATAAATTGTGGATGGTTGTGCTGCATACGTTGTCCATTAGAAGTTACTTGATTAAATGAACGTCTGGCTTCTGGACTTTGAGATGCTGGACGTCTAGTTGGAGATGGACTGGAAGAAGAGCTATGTCTGTTCTCAGAACTCTTCTCCCAATGAGTATCTTCTCTTCTACGTTCTTTTTTATTCTCCCAATCTTTATTTCTGTCATTATTTCTTCTTCGTTCCTTGTCCTGTGAAATTTCCTTAGTTTTTTCTTCCTTTTTCTCTTCTAATTTCAAAGGAAACATCAATTCTCCTTTTCCTGTTCCTTTGTTACTTGCAATTTTTTTGAATTGATCCAAAAAGCTACCGTCATTGGCAAATAAATTAATTGTTTGAGACACTGGTTTATCTTCATCTTTTCTGGAAGAAAATATAGTCTATTTAAAAGAGATTATTATATAAAAGTATCAAATCAACAAAGAATAATTTCTAAGAAATCGCAATAAGTATTATTATTAGTATTTTACAAAATATTATTAATTATTAGTAAAATATATTTAATATATAATAATTAAATAAATTTATTAGCAATACTTTGACATTTATACACATGTTCATACACAAGCACGCGCGCGCGCACATACATATACACACATTATATTTCATTCATAATATAAAGCTAAATGAGTAACAGGATTAAATTACAGAAAAAATTATAAAAATGTTTGCGATATTTTAATACACTTATGCATTAATATATTTGAAATAAGATTAGATAGATAATTTAGATAATTTATTAACGTAATAGCTACTCACTTGGAAGAATTCATTTTATTTTCTATCAAATTCGGAGCTAGCGCGTTCGTTTTTTTCAAGTTTTCCACAGCTTCTTTTGCTTTCTGCTCTTGCATTTTTGCCTGTATTTCAAGCTTTTTTTGTTGAATAATTTGTTCTTGTTTTGACATTTGTGCAAAACGTTCATTTCGGGATGTTTTCGATACGAATGGATCAGAACCTTTCACACCGCGGTACGCCATATTTATTATATCGCAGACGACTCCCTACACACTTAACGATATTTCGACCTAAAGCCAACTAATACCTGTTAGCAATCGCATCGACGTAGCAGCACCAGCGCTCTAGCATCAACACTAGCGCAACCAAGCGATAGATGATTTAACTAAAACAATTAACAATTATACAATGGATTATGAAAAAAAAATTTAGATTCAAAGCATTATTACATGAGATATGTTGTTTAGTTTGCGTATAGTTAATAATTTGTTTACATTGAAGAAAAAGCATTAATAAGTGAAGTATAAATCTAAATTTTCTAAAATAATATTGTATTTTATTAAATATTCTAAAATACTTTTAAACTTAAAATTTGTTTTCTACTATATATATAATACTCATATTTATATTATACTATAAAATATAACTTGCTTATATGAATATATAATATATACAATAGTTATATGTAATTAAATTTTGTAATTAAATTTTATTTTACTTGATCTTTATAACAAAAAATTCTATTTTGCATAATAGTATGTTTTTAAATGGTGAATAAAATGGTAAATCAAAACAAATAAATCTGATTATGACTAATTATTAAATTATTTTATTCTTCATAAAAAATGTTGTATAAATACTTATATATATGTATGTATGGAAATAACTATATCAACTCGTAACTATGGACACAGAAAACTTTAAACCTTTATTACGTATGTTTACATTATACATATACGAGCAAATATCAACGATCATATATATAATGTAACCAAACATTTAATTTAATTGCATTTTATACACAGGATTAATTAATTTAGAGAAGAAATCAAATTAATGTCGATTAAATGGATAAATGTTTAACGATATTCACGAAAAAAGTAAGTAATTGATAAATAATTGAATAATTAATTGATTAATAATATATGTAATATTTAAATAGAAAGAAATAAATAATACACGAGTAATATATATATATATAAAAAATGATAAAATGTGAATCATTATTTAAAGTGTATTTTTTTATTTTTGAATAGAATATTTTATTTTTAGTCATGATTTAGTATAAAAATTCTAATTCTAATTCTAATCTATATTTAACATATGATAATTTTATATTTTGTCAAATAAATTAAAAAAGACAATGAAATTAATAAACTAATATACATAACATCTAACTATACAGTATGTTGGAATCGAGAAGAGAATTGATCAAGATTTTTATTCACGAAAGAAAATACTGATTGAAAAACTTAAGTTATTCTGTCATTTGATCGAGAACAATGCGAAGCAGCACCTAAAAAATGAAACAATACGGGATAAAAATAATAAATTGTGCGATATTGAGAAAGCTAAACATGAAATGATACGTATGTAAATTTCTACCTAAAAAATACAGTCCGTGTTAATAATATTAAATAATTTAAAAATAAATATTAAAAAATATATATATTTATTTGTTTAACTTTTGTTGTATAAATTTTGAAAGAAGATTTAGACAAATAATGTATTATTTTTAATAGAACGGGAGAGTCTTCTTCATAAAGAGAGTTTAAATTTTAAGCAATTTCAACGAAATGTCGAATTAGAATTGGAAGCAATAAAACTTGCAAAAAAGAATATCGAAGAAAATTTGAAAGAGACACTAAGAAAACAAAAGTAAGTAATTTTCTATATATTTTTTTTACTCGATTACAAATTAAAAGTAAAATAAATATAATTTTGAATATATATATTATCTCGAAAAATATATATTTATAAATATATATTTTAAATATATATTTACTTTTAACAATTTAACATATATTTATTCTATATATATACATATAATATTTAATAATTTATTGATAAAAAATTATTTTTGATATTCTTTTAGAGAAGAATTCTCATCCAAGATTTTAGATGAAAATTTAAAGAATAAAATAAAGATAAAATCTATGGAAATGGAAATCGAAAAGTTCGATCTTCATTTAAAATCTAGTCACGAAATAAATCAGTTGGAAATTAACGATTTATATAAGAAACGGTATTTATATAAGAATCTTATTATTATTATATTACCGATTTATAAAATTAGAACTAGAAATTATAAAATATAAAAGAATTGTTAACAATATAACATTTAATTATACATAATACACTGATATATAGGTACAAAATGAAAAAGCTATATCTAGATGAACTGGTAAAATACGACAAAGATATCGAATCACTTTATACATATAAAAATACTCTTTTAACTGAAAAAGATTGTATCAACAACGAATACGCCATTATTCAGGTGAGCCAAAAATATTTTAATATTTATTTTATATATATATATATATATTTAATCAAATTTAAATCAATTAATTTTTAAATCAAATTTACAATAAAAATTTGAAAATCTATTCATGTATGGACACATCTTGAAGGATCAACTCGTCGCACAACGTAATTTATATAAACAATTAAAAGAGGAACAAGAGCTAAACGAGAAAAAGGCTTTTCTAGAAAGGATAGAAAATTTTCGTCGAAATCATGCGGCGAAAATTATTCAACAAAATTGGAAATTATATTACATACGTATATCTGTAAGAAAAAAAAAAGGTAGAAAATAATTTGCAATCAATTAGATTTCCATATATTTCAATTTTATCCTTACAGATTTTTAAATAACACAGATAAAACTTTAATATACATATGTGTATTTTGCTTGAATAATTTTTCTTATGTTATCGATAAATTATTATATTTCGAAATATTTATGAATGATATATATAATATATATTATAATTTCAATATATTATAATTTCACAGATTTTAAACAGAAATTATTAAATATCTAACTATATTGATCTTTTACTATGTTTAGAAATCTCCCTTTCTCTCCTTCTCTCTCTTTCTTGTTATCCTTTTCTCTTCTTTTCTTTAGCCCTCCTCTTTCCGTATCGCCACTCTGTTGCTCACCCTTGCTGGATTTTCGTTCTTATCGCGATCGTGTTTGCATTTCGATAATATAACTTGCAGAGAACAAACAAAATCTTCTCTCTATATTTTACGTTATAATGAAGGAAAAATGTGGAATTAAATTACATGTATCTCTCTTACAATTTTATATATCTGTTTTTCAAAATGTAAAATGATAGGCAAAAGTAAACTGTAACTCCATTAACACGTTCAATTATCATTTATTTAATATAGAAATGCAAATTAAGAAAGATAAAATGGAATAGAAAAAACGAATGGAAAAAGCTTGAAGTTTAAAAAGGGAAAAAAAAGAGAGTGAAAAAGTGAAAGAAAATGTGAAAGAGATGTATCGTTAACAGCATTGAAAAATAACTTTACCTAAAAGCTAAAAGGTGATGAACCGCGCAACTGGAATAACGAATAGTTAATAGTCACGCGGAGGTTGACGCATGCTCTGTAACGTTTCCCCGGGGTGATATTCAGTCAGGCAAACTGAGCCAGGAACCGAGGCTAGTAGACGTTCGATCGTTACGAGGTGAATCGGTGGTTGGGAGTACCGCGAAACAAACAATTTTGGACATGCGTATCGATCGTTATCGTTCGCACCTACGTATGGCCACTTATTTCTGGAAAATATCTTCCATTATTAGCATCGATTCTAATATTTAGTTTGCACATCAATAATAACCTTTTGCTTCGTCACGAGGAAAAAACGGTTGAATAAGAGAAAAGAGAGCGGAAGAAAGAAGAGAAGGGAGATAGAAAGAGAAAGAGAGATAGAGAGAAAAAGTGAAATCTAAACAAGAAAAAGAATATGGAAAATATTCTCTTATACTACACTATATGAAATGAGGAAAATTCTCAATTGAAGATTTGGATCAGTTGCTTGAAACGGATTCGAATTTTGGAAAAGTTGAAAGGAAATTAATTAGGGTGAGATCGAAGCAATCCTAGCATGATATTATTAGATAAAAACCATTTAGATGCATGCCGACATTGGATAGTCGGTCTCCAATCTTCCCCGTAGAACGAATGCGCACCACCTGTAGCTCGATATCTATGCTCGAAAGGTCAATCACCTTTTCATTATGTTTTTTTGCAAATGTAAGTAAAAATAAATATTTTTTTTGGGAATCAATCATTATATTATTATTATCTTGGTATATTTTATGCGTTTATTTATCAATTATAATGATCTTTTCAATTAGATAATGACAAGATGTTCATTGAAAATTAAAAGGGCATATTTGAAAAATTAAACAATAAAGATTTTATGTTATTAAATTTTTTTTACGATTGTTGTGCTTATTTTATAAATTTTTGGAAAAAAATTATTTAGAAAAAACGAGTCATTTTTGTTAATGAATATTTTTGTGAAAGAATATTAATGTAAATATTAATGTTTTAATAAAATTGGAATATAAGATTGTTTTGCAATTAAATATTTATTATTTTATTGTTCAATTATTTTATATAGATAATTAATATTTTTTATAGCAGGAAATGAGGAAAATATAAAAATAAAATAGAAGAAAGGAAGAACGAGAAATAAGAGGAAAGAAATAATAGTAGAAATAAAAGAAAAAGAAGGAAAACGTGAAAAAACAAAGGCTATCCGATTTCTTATTTTACTGTGAGACAAATTGAGCAATACAGTTTAATATCTATGTATATATTACATATATTAATATAAAGTAATGTATAGCGAGTTTGCATTATTTTTAAATTATTTTAATAACAAATATACTTGTTTGCAGTTTCAACAGGATGTATACTTTACATAAATATTCTAAATATACCATAAATGAAAATTAATCGGATTCGAAATCATTAAAGGAGAAATTATGACTGAAGAAAGTAACAATACCGTTTCTTGCAAATGGAGCATGGAAGAACGGGAAAAGATATTAACTACAGGAACGCTAGAACAAAAAAAAGAAGCTTTCAAAGATGATGAAGAATTAATGAAAGAAACAACCAAATTTGTAAGTGATGTTATACAAACGGCGATCTCGGAAGCTTCAAAAAGGAGGATGGAGGTTTGTAATTTTTCATTTATAATGTTTATTCAAAACGGATATTGTCGAATGCAAACTATTCGTTATGTTAATTTTATGTTTCAGAAAGGTGATGATAGCGAAGGTAATCATAAAAAAAAAATTATATTTGCCAGCAGAGATCGAACCGATTGCATTTCATCAGAAAAGCATATCGTGAAAAAAAGATATATTTTAGATAGATTAAAAATAGCTTTTATTTCAAAATTTATTTTTATTCATAATTTTTTTGATAATTAAAATATTTGTCTGTGTAGGAAGTAGATTAAAGGGTATCGGTAGCATCACTGGTTGGAATCGTCGTGCACGTGGATTTTGCAGTCGAATATTGAACGCGCTATGTCCGTGCTTCACTAGCAATGGTAAATCGTAGAGCGTATCGAATTTAGTGATTACGCGCGATTGTGCAGCCATGTTCAAACATTGTAGCTTTGCATCGCTCTTGTAGCGACTCAACCTTCCTTAACCTAATCATCAAATTGATTACTCATAAATTTCGTTTACACTACTGCTCATGATTATCCGAAAAAATGTTTGCTTCTGGCAGGATGTAATTTAATTACATAATCACGAAAAAATTTTATTTTTTGAGATTTTTGTGATTATAACAATACGATAAATTTGGTCAAATTTATATATCATTTCTACGAAAAATCATAATATTGACCAACTAAATATTCATAGTAGTGTATGTGTTATTTATGATAGTGTTGATTTCATGTTCGAGGACGGAACGAAAACTTTGATATCGTTATATTTTTATGTTATTTCAATATTATTATATTCCAATTAAATTGGAGATTTGGAACTCCATCGATAAATTTCTTAACTTTGTTCTCTATTTCATATTGTTCAGTATATTCATATTGATATCCCTGTTAACTGAATGTTTAATTTACAAAAGTCAAGCAATCAACAACATAGGAGTAATGGAATAATATATAATAAGGTAAAAATATATATTAAGATAATATAAGCGAAGATAAAAGAAAACAAAAATATAAGATAACATATATATAATAGTTGTAACAGTTATTGTATCGATCACAGGTTGATATGCATTTTACAATATTAATATATATGTATACAAAAAATTCGATGGATGAGTGAATATCTCAATTTTCATATTTTAAAAACGTATGCGTTATACAAATTTTCATATTATATCGAAAATTTCACGAGGAACACGCGTATTAATTTGAGAATCTTCAAAGACTCAATTCCTGAAAAACAATCAGGACGTCCTCGTTCATTTTCATTGTTAAATAATTAACGCATGCTCGACATTCAATTCATTCTCTATCTTATCCTCGTGTCCTGTAGTTACGCAGCTATTATATGTAGCAGCAGCCTATAAGATCACTTAGCATGCGTGACAACGCATACTAACGCGTATCATTGAAACGCGCTCATAGTTTGAATATATCCATCGATACATTTATTAATGTGATTATATACATACATAATTCATAACATCGTGTCAAATTATTTTTAAAATGTCTCGATACTCTTTTCATATGATGATAATACGGATACAAATATAGAATAATGTAGAGAGTAAATATACATAACCTATCTTTCTAGAAAATCATATATCTATTTAGAAAAATTACGGAGATATGTGAAATAGTGTATCGAGACGCGATTGTGCACGTTGTAACCACTAGGGATAACACATGCTTAAAATGTTGTTATACTATAATATTAGTATATTATATTATTATATCTATTCTTTTCATAGAATTATTCGCCTGGACACCGTACCGATATCGCTTCACAAGACCGTAATTGTTTGCTGCCTACCAGAATTACCATGTTTTGCCGAGCAACCAATCCTATTGATAAGATAATAGATATCACGAATATTCGTGTATGCAAAATTAAAAGAAATTAGTGAATCGCGGTCAACGGTCGGTTCTTGATCCTATCTGCTATTGGATTTAAACAATTACAATTTTGTATTACAAATTGTCAATAATTTCTACAGTATTTATGTTTCTACAATATATTATCAGAATTCTAGTCAATCCGAATATCTATACACGTATGTATGAATGTATATTCGTATACATGTATGTGTACAACTTATGGTATGTAGTTGTTTCCAAAATTATATTAAAATTTTAATTAGGTATTCTTCTCATAATGTGAGATTACGAAGAAATGTTAATGTCTGAAATATCTTTCTTTGCAACATTGCGTGTTAGGAGCGATGGATATGCGATTCTGTTTCCTTTCGTGTCCTTATACGTACTTATATGTATTTAGTTCACCAAACAGAACGCAAATAATGCGATTATAAATAATGAAGAAAAAAAATGATATCAATGTGGAAAGAAAATTAATTGTACGTTAACTACGTATTTACATCAACTGCTAATCCTTTATGTAATAATTTTGTGCTAGTCAAATATCAAGAAATAAAAGGAGAAATAAAAATGAAGGAATGAGGATGTACGAGTGAGACAGAGTAAGAAAAAATAATGAAAGAAAGGGAGAGAGCGAGTGAGCGACCGAAAGAGAGAGAGAGAAAGAGAGAGAGAGGAGTGAATGAGAGAGAAAGAGATTAACTAAAGATTATATATATTCAGTGTACAATTACTTGATGTGGGATCAAAAAAAAAGCCTATTAACTGACAATCAAAAAGAAATGCATTGTACATGCATGGAAATTTATTTACATAAACAAGATTGCAATATCTTTGTTGCGAATTTGTTGTAAGAAACAATCAAATTGATTAAACTTTTCAATTATTACATGGCCGAATCAAGACACAATGAAATAATTAATATATAGTATACGTATGCGAGTGCATACGTATACGACTGAAATTACATGTATGTATGTACAAATAGACACAATTACTATTCTCGTGCATCTGTAATAAATATACAAATGTAAATAAAATGTCGTTAATAAGTTGTGTGTTAATTGTATTTAAAATTTTTTTAGGAGTTTGATATATATTTACATATGCATGTATATCCATTAATATTTCTAAAATGAAATAAATTAAATGCGCAATCATAATCAGAAATCAATTCACAATTTGGATTCTATGAAAACAAGAAATCATATCATTATTACTTAATGATTTAATTCTTTTAAATGAAGAATAGATTTAGATAATGATAAATTATTCTTGCAATATTGTAATTTAATAATTTTTAATAAATTAATAATACAAATAATTTTTAAACAGAGAGAGTTACAATTTAGAAGAACCTGAGAAATTGGAAATAAGAAATTATTAAATACGTAAAAATTATAATATATGTAAACTGGTTACCATGGAAAGTTACATATTCTATAGGTTAACAGATGGTTATTGAGAAATCAATTATCACATTGCCTTAAATATACTAAGAAACTATGACAAGAAGTGTAAAGATAGTTTTTTAAATTAAGAAATAGAAATAATCGACTTTAACATATATTATTTTTTCTATTTCATTGTTGAAATAGAATTGATGTGTATAGTGATTTACGTGATTTAGATTTTATCAAATCGATCAAGAAAAGTATAGTATTCTCTGCTACTAACCATATATTTGTAAAGAAAGTAAAAAAGAAAATAATTTGTATCCATAAATATAACTTGAATAATTTTTGTGTCATATAATATGTGTCAATATATCATATGCAAACAATATATCTTCAATGATGTAAATTATAAGATTTGTATTGTATAGGGATTAAATTTATTTCATAATCTATCTTGATATATTAACTATTAACTTTTATTTATTTTTTTTTAATTGAATATATTCAACAAAAAATCATAGAAGAAAAAAAATATATGTACATTTTATGAAAGCACATGAAAAATCTATATTGAACGTATAAAGGAAAAAAAATGCATAAATATACAAAAAATAAATTTAAATATTTGTCACTATGTGAAGAAAGAATAAAATTTCGAAATCGACTTGTTGATGTAATAAAGAGAAAAGTACTGGAAGAAAAAGAAAAACAAAAAAAAGAGGAGATATTTTATGAATTCGATATAAAAGAAATAGAAAAAAAGGATGAAGATATAATTATAAAAGACGAAAAAGAGATTTTACAATACTATTATTATTTGATACAAGGTATCGATGATGTTTACATAGGATCAATAGATATTAATCTTTTGAAAAATATACTAAACCGTATTCCAACCAAATGGAAAGAAATATACAAAAATACTTTAGATGGTTTAGTGAAAGAAGTAAAAGATGAATATATATTCAGTATAAAGAAAGCAGTTATAGAATTCGTTATAGGAGAGTCACAATATCCCTCGTTATATGAGGTACATTTTAAACATTTCTAATCTATAATATACATATACATTTATATATATATATATATATATATATATACATATTATATATATTATATTATATATATATATAAATGTATATGTATATATACATTTGAAACATATTATCGAGTCTAAAGAAGAAAATGTTTTGGATTAGAAGAAGCAGATTAGCTTAGATATTAATTCGTTAATCGTAAAATGCAAATTATCGAAAATTAATTTTGGCAAGGAAATAGAATATTTCTTAACAATGCGAAACTCGTCTTATTTTATGCATCTCTCTTAATAAATACTTGCGTACATTGTTATTATAACATTGTACATTCTTGTACGAATACGAAAAAAATGAAAGGAAAAATATTAATAATAGGAAGAAGAACGGTGGTTAGTAGGGAAGAAAAGATGAAGATTCAAGAAACTACTATAATTTTCAGTTTGCTGCAATTGAGAAGTTTCAATTTAAAGGAGTACGATTTTCAAAGGAGCATGAAATTCAATATCATTGGAACAGAGCGAAAATCGAGAGAAAGTTGATATTATATCATCCTATTATACGACGAATTTTTGATTTCTGGAATCGAGAATTCAGGTTGGTTTCTTGTGCAAACTATTTCCATAATATTATTCATGGATATATATACATTTGATGCATATATTGTTAAAGTTATAAAGATAAATATATATTATAAAAAAGATTTTTTTTATACATAAAGTTATTAAAGTAAAAGAAAAATTATTCTATTTATTGTAAAGATAAGAGTTTTTTTTTTGCGTGTATCTAATGAATTTGACATTATAAATTATAAAATATGCAATTCGTTCGTTATATATCGTTTAATGATACAACAGTGACTGCAAGCTTTTATGCGAAGTGGAATTGGCAAGCCGGGAATTTATTACGGATCTTGAAGTATTCGAGAGAACTATTTCAAAAATGTATCATAAAACAAAGGAGGATCTTCTAAAATATTGCTTACCAAAAATTCAAGCGCTTTTTATTACGGTATTATAAATAATTTATATAATACAAAAGCTCAATTATTGAAATAAAAATAACGCGATATTTTTACGAACATAAATTTTTAAAATCTGAAAATCTTCTATAAGAAATATTATAATATAATATATTTAAGATATTATTTCATTTTATAATATAAATATGTTACATTGTTCATTAAGGCACTCCACCGAGACGAGTTACCACGTCGAAGCTCTGCAAAGTATCGAAAATTCTTTAATTGCGTCGCTGTCATCATGGAAGAAAAATTGCGAGGAGTTTTTTTGCGTTCGATAGAAGAATTTTTCAATTATCTTCACAACAAAAACGTGAGTTATATTTTTGCGACGAGAAGAGATTGGAAAAAAAAGAAACTAGGGGAAGGAGATCATTATGAAATTATGGCATTCTATTATTAAAATTAGATACCGCTTATTTTTTTCCTACTTTATATTCAATTTATCATATTAATATCTTATTATTGAAAAAGAAACCTAACCTAAAAATTTGATACGTTATTATTTATTATAGCAAATGCGTCGTGGCTTTGACATAAAAGTAATAGTGCGAAACGAACGGATAATATTCGACCCAACGTTTAATGACTTTGTGGAAACATTTTCGACGATATTAAATTTTTTTCGAGAGACTGTTAACGTGTTTCCACGCATTGAAACACTGTTGAATGAAACCTTTGATCCTAATAAAAAATTACTTCAGGTATTCTCCGTTTTGCACTTAACATTTGTTATAACTTATAGCAATCAGAAATTGAATTTTGCTTTAATCTACTTTAAACTATTTTTATTAAATTGTTCAAATATTGCTAAGTATTTTTGTTAAATTTAAAAAAAAATCACGAATGATTCATCTTTACACAAAAGTTTGAGATCTTAAGAGAATTAACGATTGAATTTACCTCTCAATTTTCACTTCTCTCAACATTTTCATTATCGTCACAGCCGTATATATCGACAGAATTTTTGAACAAGTGCAAAGAAGATATCGAACAACTAATCGAGAGAGAAAAAGTTGGTCCGATTGAACATTTAAAAATATTTGAAAAGTATGAGAATTTTATAATCGAATTGGAATCGAATAAAGTCGAAGAATTTAAAAAACTCGATACCTCGGAAAACTTCGATAAATATCGCGATCTAATAGATTATTACGATCGTTTGTCCCGCGATGTGACAATCGAATATACTGAAACTTATTACGCCGGATTTTTCATTGTACGCCGTAGAGATATTGTTAAATATATTTCTACGACAGCACAAAAATTTAAAAATATATTGGTCACCAAAATGATCAGCGAGTATCAGCAAAAATCTCGAGCGTAAGCGAATTTTACCTTCTCTCTGCTCAAATAAAATTCAAACGTTCCGGATAAATAATCCAAGTATTTTAATGTACACGTACATAGCGTGGGAAACGAGTATCAACGAATCGTAGATCGTGCACTAACCGTTCCAGCGAACACGAAGGAATTGGTGGAACTGCGAAAATTCATACATACCACGGAAACAGAAACTATTTCCGAATTAGAAACTCGATTAAGGGAAATTATTAAATATATCGTTATGCTGTCAGATTACTCCATCTTAAGCGCTATCGAGCTTAAACTCAATAATTTTGCTTTCCAATGGTAAGTGGGCGAGAAAAGAAGAAAATACGATAAAACGATTATAAAAACGAGAATTCGTTAAATTTTTTCTATTTTATTGCACACGATACAAGGTTTGACAAGCTTCCGGATATTTTCGAGGAACACAGAAAGATAGTTGCAAGCAAAATTGGAGAATTTCAAAATACTCTTAAAAGGAAAATCGAACAGTTCACACGGGATCTCGAGCTGTACGCGAAATATTGCAACGAATTACAGTATTGGGGCAATATAGAAGAGATATTTCGATACAGAGACAAAGCTATATATTTGGAAAACAAATTGATCACAGCAATGGATACGATCGATGAATTTAATGAGGAAGAAGAATTGTTCGGTTGGGAATTATCCCAATATCCTTTACGGAAAGCGGTAAGTTTGACAGTTCTGTCGATCCTACCTAACCTAAAAACAACAAAAACTTTATTCAAACAAATTTTGTATAATAATATAATCGTTCTATGCGACGATTGAATTTATTTGTGACGATTGAACTTATTCGTTAGACAGCCGACAAATTGATGCCATTTAAAAGATTGTACGATATATCTTGTGAGTTTTTAAACAACTACGAAAAATGGATGGATTCGGTGATAGGTACTTACGAGCCGGATGAGATCGATATGGAAACAGGAACCGCTTTTCGTACAATCTACAGATTAGAAAAGATTATACAAGAACCGATAGCGAAAAGTCTCGCTGAAACTATGCGGTTAAAGGTAGAAGAATTCAAAGAGCACATGCCTATTATATATACTCTTGGAAATACCTCTATGAAGAGCCGTCATTGGGAACAGGTGTCGGAAATTGTCGGCTTTCCTATAAAGATCGACGAGACGATGACACTTGCCAAGGTAAATTATCTTCTCTTATTTCTTAAATAAATAAATAAAGCGAATAAATATTTTACTCGTATGTAAATGCTTTGTAGATTCTCGATTTGAATTTGATGGACTACGTTGCGAAATTCGAAGCAATAGCGGAAGCAGCTACAAAGGAAGGTACCTTGGAAAAATCATTGGAACGAATGCATCATGATTGGGAAGAGATATCGTTCACTGTTAATCCTTATCGCGATACTGGCACCTATGTAATTGCCAGTGTAGACGAAATACAAATACTCTTGGACGATCATTTGATCAAGACTCAAACGATGAAGAATTCTCTTT